GGCCTGCTCACATACTCACATGTTCGCCACATGTCTTAGCATTAAACGGTACCAGTTTACTGGCCGTGACATGCCCCTGCAAAAATCAAGCGGGGTGCCCATTTTGGTGTCCCTACAGGAATGTGGTTTTTTTCAGCCTAGAACCGTGCACAGCGAGACCAACTCTGAAAAGCGACAGGTCAAAATTAGGTTTGCGTTCCACTTCGTCGAACGCAAAGACAAAACGCTCCGGTCCGCGCCCAACGGCATCCGTCCGGAAATTCGCGGGAGCCAAAGAAGACAAAGAATAGTCTTATAGAATAGTGGAGTGGTTTAGCGAGTGTAAGGTACAACTGGCAATTTACCAAACTAATTTTCTTTTTACAGATAAATTAATTTTGAACGTGATCAATATAATTGAGAGTTTTAAAAGTCTTAAATTTCCCGGTCCTATTCCCAGAGACACACGCCAAGAATTGCTTTTGTTCGATCCGACACTTTCAGATCGTACTCCGTTAGATCAACCCGGCCGAGTTCTTCAATCATATTTATAACTTTGCCAAGGGTTAAACAAGTAATTTGTATATACTTACAATCGGTCTGTGTTAAATCTCAGGGCACTCCAGAGTTTTTCAAGTTTTCCTTATTTCGTTTGGTAAAGTTCTGAATGCAAATTACAAATCAACGAAACTGAAAGTAAAAATGTGCTGGTAAAGCATTATATGATCTGCCTACATGCTGCGCTTGATGCAACTTGAATGACTTATAGTCACGATAGGTCAATATTAAGCTGCAGTTAAAACAAAAGCTTCACATGCATAAACGTGCCAAAAGTCATAACAATTTATACTCGGGGTGGACCATTGTCTCTATGCGGTTAATCGTCAAATGGCCTAAAAATTTAATTTACCGTAATATCAAACTAGACGCTCTCAGAGCGTTTGTTCGGCCTTCGTACCACAGTATCAAATCGTACTTTACGAAAACGCATATTGGACGCAATAAAAGCAAATTAAAGAATCAGGATATTTTAGTACAAGAGTTCCGCTTAGATATTTACAATTAAAGTTGCTTCGTCGAGTATCCTCCTCATCCTATCGTAAGTTGTGAGTTTAAACCATTTTGGTTCAAGAATGAAGCACAGCTGCCTACGCGTTGATGGAGAAGTTGTTTCCATAGAATTTTCGAGGTCTTCTTACAACTTATGGCGATTGCTTTGTACAAGCTAGGAGAAATTGTACGAAGTTTGTTTGCTGGTCGTGGCGATCCGAGTAAATTGTATAGCTGAACATCTTTGCCGTGTTGCGATCTTAAACCCTTTTCAAGAGTCATATCCCCTTTGGAGAGCGAATAATCCCTTTCGAGAGAGCCAAAACGAATCATGATAAACTCCTTCGCGAAACAACAGTCCCGTGACTAGGCTCAAATTGCATTGCACATAATTTGCATAAACTTTCAAGTTGTGTTTTTTGCGGATAACTTCCAAGAATTTTCGACCCTTAACGCAGTTTATGAAGAAATATTCAAGCTACATATTTTTATTGAATCAAGGCAGGAGTACTTTTAGAAAGGACTCTCATTTATAAGGGAAGATGCGGCATTCTGTTTTGCTATTATTTTGGTTTCATGCTCGTCCAGTTCATGTCACGCAACATGATTTTCTTTTGCAGTCAGACACAGTTTTCTAAAAGAACTGGCGATTGCTAAGGCTGCTAAATATATTTGAACTACTAGTGAAATAACTGGCTAAACTATCGTCAATGCAGATTTTCCTTAGGACTTGGCAAGAACGTTGGTTCGTCAATAATCCCGCACAATTTCCCGCATAATCGAAGGTTTAATTCTCCCGCACAATGTGCCTCCAAATTCACACGTTATTATTATT